GAAGTTAGTAAACCTATTGTACCATTGCTACCAGGAGTCAGCATCATCTGGAGAGTTCTGATCGGTGTCGAAACGACCCAGGAATAGATATCGGTCTATTGTCTTTGGTCGATCAACTTGTAGCAGGATAGATTGTACGATTGGTGGTAGATTGTAGCGTAATAGATTGCACCTCTAGCCGGCAGACAAGCCGGAGGACAACGCCTTGTTGATAGACCTTAATCGATTAACAACAAAAAAGCAAGCATATGATCTAAAACGAGACAAGCAAAATGTTAGAATATGCACCGTGCAGGAATAAATCTATTTATGCAACAGAAGGACAGTAGTAAATCTATAGCACAGTAGAGGTGGCTGGGAGTACTCCAGTAGTCAGGTCTTATCTCATTGGTCTCTCGACAAGTTACAAGGCTACTGGAACTAGGCAAGTGCTTTTAGGATTCTACAGTATGTATCCTATGGACACAGACCACTGACAGTAACCAATGTAGGATAAACTACAGGATTCCGCCAGATGGTCACAAAACGCAGGTTGTTGGTAGTGAAAAATATCCCTAACACAAATGTGTACTAGACGAGCGTTCTTGTCTACTTTTTTAGGGACCAGCGTGAGGAAATTCGAATATTAAAGTGCTCCCAACAACCTCTACCTCCCCTAAGATGTCATCTGCATACCTTCTACTAGATTCGCGCTCGGTCTAGCTTCGATAAAAATGCGAGAACGAGCAACTTGGATATACTACAGGCAGTAACAATGAATAACTGTTATCCGTTTGGCACAATCTTTTCATCTCGTGAATTTCGAAGTGAACTAATTTACATAACATGGTCTTGGGTAGAACAAAAAACGGCTTCCTCTTAATCGTGTTTCTTTTTAATTTCAGCTACCAGTTATGAGTGTCACTCGAGATTCCTGTGCTTCAGGGTGGACATACCGTAAGGTGTACACCCTAATGCTCGTTATATATAATCAGTCAGAGGGAGATCCGGTTCCGCGTCTCCAACACGAAGTGGAGTGTTGTTCGGTGAGCATAAAAACAATGGTCAATGCCCTCTTTTACTACATTGAATTGCGCTATTGTGTCAAGTGAAATTATCATTCATTAGTGGATTGACCTATTCGGAGTTTCATCTGTGGTTCAAATAAGATTCAAGTTATGCTCCCTGTGGCTGTTTCCGGTGCTCATCTACGTTTATATGAAATTTTCATCCCAGACATCACGTATGGTTTCCGGGAATTGTGTAGTTGTGATCAAAGTTTTCCCTTTTCGGTTATATTTTCATCTTTCAACTATTATGCTATTGAAATATTAACCAACAGTTTCGAAAAATGTGTACTCATTCCTGATTTCTAATGGTTGTGTAAGAACTGTATGGCTGTCATTGCTACGGTGTTGCGTGCTCCATACTCTGGCTTTTAAATGCGGAAACCTATTGTGGCTACTGGATTTTGTAAGTAGTCTGTGTTAGAAAGACAAATATCGTTTCATTGCGCTGGCTCCATCCTTATTTACCTCACGGTTCGTCTTTTAATTGATGTTGATGACTTGCACTATTTGCCCGAGGTTCCGACGGGCCTTGATGATATGACAGTATTTCCTAGTATATTGTGGCGGATGGTCCTATTCCTATTTCAATACACTTCAAGTACAGATTTATATTGTTGCCTCTGAGACACTTTTTCAGTTGGATTGCATTTCAGTGATTGAGGAGGCCATTGGAGAGTTTCTATCGTGATGCGAACAATAAACCAACGACGTACAGATGTATTGTCCTGGAAAATCGTGTTTATATATATATATATTTACTTATTTTTATTACACACTTAGGTGTGATGAACAGCAGACAGGGTGAACCCCATAGTCACGAGAACTTGGGGTGGCGAACCACATAAAGCCCCGCTAGATTAGGTAAAGTATTGAACCGAACCACAACCAAGCGGCCTACTACCAAAGTCGGGTGACGGTGGCAGGGTTTGAACCTCGAACCATAAGGTCCAAAGCACGCTGGTGACAGCGACTAAGCTATGGCACCACCACTACCCACCGGTCGCTCCAACCTTCTCATCAGGTGGCCAACCATAGTTGTACTACCTTTTTTCTGTCATCATATCACTAATATTCTCGGAAATATTTTCAAGTATGCTTTTGACGACCATAAGTGAATGACGAAAATTGGTCCGTTTCCGTGCTCCGTCCCTCCAAACACGCTTCCTCTTTGACCGTTCGCAACAGTCAATCCTAACCGACTAGACTCGAGAGTAAATGTGTTCAAGCTGTAGTACCTCCTCTACATTTCCTGTCTGTCTTTGAGTGTCTTTGATAGTTCTGTAACCTTTTAAACCGATCCATTCACCACATCACCGTTTGTTTTAAAAAGTCAAACATTGGTAATCTCGTGTCGTGACTTCGTTATCCCTGTAATCTTGTTGCACACCAACAACCTGCACTTTTATGAACACAAAATGAACAACAGCATGAAGAACAGATGAGTTTGGGGGATGTAGAACTGAAAGGTGCAAATCTGTCGGAGCTTCATAAAAGAGCTCGTGGCTCCGGCTTACTCAGCAGTGGACTGTATGAAACAAAAGTACTTTCCCGAATTGAAGTATTCCCTACCGACGGTATGTAAACTCAGGACCACAGTTTATTTTGGGCTTTTGTTGAATAGCATATTCAAGTATTATCGGACCTATCCGCAGATCACGGTCCTCAAAATGGCCTGAAAATTGCTGTTGTGCTCAGCATGGGTGGTTATACAAGTCACTCCGACTATCAAACTGTCGATTTATTCATTGGATTTCTCATTCAATCTTACTTCAGAACAATGACGATGTCCGTTCGGTTTCATACGAGAATCAATCGTGGCTTCTTCTTGGATTAAAACAAAGGGGTTTTGGTCAGGGTCGATGGAATGGGTTTGGTGGTAAGGTGCAGTCGGACGATCGGAGTCCGAAACACGCCGCGTTACGCGAGTTGCAAGAAGAATCTGGTTTGGAAGTTTCCATGGATCAAGTGGAAGAAGTTGGTCGTTTGTGGTTCACTTTTGATGGAAAAGAGGAGGTGAGTGGTTGCCGATTCTTTGAATGAATTTCTGTTGAAAATTGATTCAGTCTTAATCTAAGATACTCAAACTGTCCGATTTTATGACAGATGCTCAATAGACAGAGCAAAAGTAAAACATCAGGAGTGCTATACAAGGGTTGAGATTGAGCCAAGCTTATCGGTCTGTGTTCAAAGTGATGAAAGTCATAGGTGTTAGCCGACGGGTTAATGGATAGAACATTCTAAACCGTACACTCTCGGGTACGGAAGAGTTTTGAAAATCTGAAGTGCTACTTTTGACCAGTAGATATTTGACTTGGAAAGCAACAACTGAAATAAAGACCGGGTAATAGAAAAAGTCCTGTACAGACTTGTGTGGCTGTTAATGACAATTAGTAATGAGCAAGGTGACCGCTACAGTCCAACATACGATATGCAGCTGATTATAAATATAGCGCTGGGATAATCGAATCACAGGCCTGTCGATTGACATATCATCCTCGACGATCGAGTCATCCTAGCGGGAGCAGCGCAAGGTTAAACAAACGTGTCTCATCAAAACTGCCAAACACGAATCAGCATAAGGAATCTTGTACTGTTATGCTTTGCTGTCTAGAATCATTTGTGCAAAACCGAACGTCCGTGTGACTTACTTTGAGGTACAAGCATGTTCACCAACCGGCCTTGTCTGTTAAAATAAGAACAGAACTATGCACTGAATGCGTTACCAGCTGTCGCTGATGGAGCACTATCGCACGTATGACTGCACTGTTTGACTGCGGTGTGTGTAACAGAGCAGGAATGGGATCAAGGGAGTCTTGCAAATAGCCTAGAAAGCAAGCATAGTCGTGTGGGATTACCGAAAATCCCGGAAGGTGGATAATTTTGTTACTAATAGACAGTCGTCGGAAAGAATTGGTAAAACAGACGCATCTGTTCGAAGATTGTGGAAAGTTATTTATTTGTGAATTGCACATTGATAAGGATCACAAAAGAAGTGCATTTTGACAAAGTTATTAGATTAGGAGTTATATGATGAATTTCCTCGTGTACAGAGCAAATGAAGTAAACTGAAATGCTAAGAAGCGCGATACCGTTGGTAAGATCCAACCAGGTCAAAACAATTGTACAGTGTCTTCCTAGCTCCTCGATTCACGTTTCGTTTGTCCTGTGTACGGCGAAGTTCACTATATGATCAAATCAACTCCTCCGCTACCCTCATGTAGTTAACGAGTGTTCATAAAGCGTCCTTATTGGCTTGGTGTACTAAAAAACCGTTATATGATTTTATAAAAGAAGATTGCTGGTGGCAAGTCTTGACGACAGCTCGTATATTCATCCGCGATAGGAGACTTTTAGCAAGTGCGACAGCATCGGTGACAACTCTGTGACAGTTGAGTAAAGATGTCTTAGAATGTGCAACATCCAACAGCAGATGACTCGTGAAGTGATGCGATCAAGAACTACTCTGAGAATCACTGAATGGTTCAGTATGTTCCTCGCAAAATTGCAGTTTTAGTGCTCGACGGTTATTCATATGTATTTATGTTCAATGTTCAATGTTCTTCAATTAGAGGCAGGGGGTAATTTCCCGTATGAGCCTCATCACCACAGACTCGAAGATCTCATTCATGATAGATCTGCATACCACATTGTTCGCAGGACGCTGTCGAGCTTCCTCTTGAACATCTTATCATTGACCTCTTCCACCACGTCAGCTGGAAGGGAGTTCCAAAGATTGGTTACCCTTCGCGATAGCCGGAACCGGAGGTAATCCTACGGACGAAAGCTTCAACAGCGTAAGTCCATGTCCACGAGTCCTGGTCTGCTCGCGCAGAGGGAAATACTCCATCAACTCTGGACCCATGTCACCGCGAAGAATAAATGTCAAAAACCATCGAGGCTCACTTACTCGCATTTCACTGTACCATGGTAGTTCTGAATTGCACACGCGGCTTAGCGAGTGACCCTCGTCATCCCTTGGTTTGTATTTGTCAGTGTATCTTCACATGGAAGCCCGAAAAGATTTTTATGCTAAATTACGAACAACAAACAACTCTTACCTAATACCTGTGTTACAAATCTCTCACCGGATGAAACTGGGCGGGTAACTTCGACTGATCACACTTCACCTACTTAGTGCGAATAAACGCTATCGAGATACATCGAATACTCCCTTCTCCACTGACAACTGGTGCTATTGCTCGTCGGATGAGCTACAGTTCACACCTTTTCGATGTTACTAGTGACCAAAGTATGAGTGGAGAGCGAGAACGAGCGAGAGAGATCTGTCCCTGTGATAATGCAGCAGCAGTGCCATCTAGGTTTTCATGCTGCCACGGTAATGTGTCCGATTCCCAGTCCGCAGTTCGTGATCTTCACAACTGGAGCTCGGATGAGATATAAACTCCCACTTTTTCTCTCTCTCTCTCTTTGTTTGAAATGATCAAAGGATGCGTTTAGCAAGTTGATTGTCGGTTCAGATTAATTGACTTTCGAGGTGAAATCGGTATCGAATTCGTTGACATCAAGTTTCACACAGGAGTCTCGGGATGCCATGGTTTTAGATAACCTGAAAGCAACAGATTGCCTATGCCTCTTACGGACATATTCTTCCCCCATCAATTTGTTAACCCTCGCCGGCGAACTGGGGAGACGAAACTTGAACTCACGAAATGGATTTCAATGAATGTTCGGTATTAGTGGATATTTCTTTCGAATTACAAGTCGGTCGAAAGTATCGTCCTTTATTGCAGAAATCGGTGGATACTGTGTTATATTTTCCGGTACTCTTAGCTTCAACGGCCTATTTTCTCAATTGTTTATTTACGGTGATGCTTCCGAAATCCGTGTGCAATATTTCTTACCACATTTTATGCGTCCGATTGACAATGGGATTCTCTGTGTGATCTCACTTGAAATAGCAGTCGTTTGAATTCCCTTTCCTCAACTCTTACTGATCCGTACTTTATTAGTTTCAATTCGAAATGTTCAGAAACCTTCTCGGTTTAAGCTAGACACAAAGAAGTTATCACTCTCGTAAAAAAATCTTCTATTGTGGAAAGCCCTTGCAATGTGTTGCGCGTAACTTTTGAAAACTAGATGGAACATCTTACCCACTGTTTCGAATATGATGGCCAGACTGCTAAAGATCGCCAAGGCAATTGGAATCAGCCGATGGAGACCAATCTTGTTTATCACCCTAACCTGGCCTCTGTGACCCTTCCTCCATTCACGTTTTGTCAGACATTCCCAAAACCTATATAATCATTGCATTCGTCTACAGTAGGCACCAGATAAATGGTCCAGGACATAAATCGCCCAATATTTTTACATTGCCCTCGCTTTTTATCGTGCGAAGAGCCTGTTTCAGTTTGTTAAATTTCGTCCCCCACTAAGTCTTCTCCCCATGTCTTTGGATGACCTAGTCCAATTAAAATGCGAAACCTGTTTTTGCTGGCATTTGGCTCAAACAGTTTGATTGTTGTAAAGATGATCGAGCAGTTGAATCCACTGTCTTTGGTGTCGACCTCTAACATGGAGGAATATTTATTGTTACATTAAGTGAAATACGTCCTATATGAGAAGTAATTGATTAACACATTCAACATATCGGGTGCCAGGCAGCAATCTGAAAGACTGAATAAGAATGCCGCGGTCAAGTGATCCGAATGTTTTGGCATAATCAAGAAAAATTAAACGGACGATGCCAGACCCTTAATCTGGTGAGGATGCAATGACGTGAACAACGTGAGCAACACCATCCAGAGTGGAAAACGAAGGTTTGTAAGCAAATGGAATAGGGTTATGAGTAGCAGATAAAAGAGTCATTCGGTGTGGAAGCACTCTTTTAAAAACTTAATAGTGCCGATGTGCAAGCAGTCGGTTTGTACTCGGAAGACCCGCCTGGGGGAATTGGTGTTATCCGGGAAGTTCTCCAGCAATCGGTGATACTTCCAGATGGCTTACATAAACTAAAAAACTTGGAAATTAGTGAAGCAAGTTGTTCTACATGACGGGGGATGATGATTCAGGGCCATGTGCCTTTTTGTATTAAAGGGACTTCAGCACCTTCAAAACTTCCGCCGGGGTAACAGAGTGGTTCTCTCCAGCAAATGTAGATGAAGGCGGTGTTGAGTTTAGTACAGAACCGTTCGCGAAGTGACCATTTAACTCCTCAACATCTGGGAAAAAGATATTTCTTGAGCCACAGAGAGCTGTTGCACTGCAGATCACATACCACGATAGTTCTTGTTTTCCATATACACCAGATTTAGGTGCAATGTGTCCATCTTGATTGAAAATATAAGATGTGTTACAACACTGTGCTTTCTAGTCCGATAGATCTTTTCTTTATCAAGACAGAACCGTTTTAGAAGAGGGGAAGAGAATCCGTCGGTCCGAATTTATAACTCTCAACTGGGCAACACAGATCATAGCAAAAATTCAAGTACAATGTAAGATACCCACAACTGGAAAAGATATCAGTATTGAAAATATAATGAAGTGGGTAGAAAAACCATGTATCTTAGTTTAGCTAAGTTTTCATGGAATTAATTCCTTCCTTGAATGATTCCAACCTGTTGCAATTTGTGAGGAGAAAAGTAAAAAAAAGGCAAACAATACCCGAGGCAAACGTATTGGGAGTAACGTAAATGCGAACAATAATGAACAATAATAATATGATAAAAGCGACTGAGAAAACAAGGCTCACGATAAACCAAAATGCAATTTATCTTAGTAGTACTGAAGTCTAAAAATTGATGAGCGTTGTTTGCACCATTTCTTGTTGACAAAAGTTACTACTCCGCCACCTCTGTGAACGAAGTTCGCATTTCGATCGCTTTGGAAGGTGTCAAATCCATCAAGATGCACGATGTTGTTCTCAACGTCCGGATGTAGTCAACTTTCCTTGCGTGGAATTACTCCTATATTCTTACATTCTTTCCGGTATACCATGCTCTTGGTAAAATCGAATTTTCCCATGCGCACGTGACTTGAGACAGTCACATTATCAA